GGATCCTCCAGGCACATCAGTATTGATGTGAACAGCATCTCAGCAAAGGAATGAGCAAATTTGAGTTAGCTTAGGTTTTGGCATATTTGAGTCATAGTTAATAGGGTAATTTGACTGATGTGTAGTGAAAAAAGTTAAGTAGACAGGGGTAACATCCAGTGGGCCCCTTTAGATAAAGATTTATATGGTATCATAATTGCAAAGAGATGCCCTTACCAAGAGTCACTATAACCATGTGTACAAGGATTTGTGTAGGAGCCTTAGCAAATGGACTGTAGGAGAAAGAAGTAGAGACACCATGTTGAAAGTTTTTGCAATTGTCCAGGTAGGTGGTGCCATTGACTTTGTTTAGGACCAAAGTTCTAATAGGGGTGAAAGGAGCTGGATTTTACCAGACAAACGATATATTAGGCAATGTTGTTTTTTTCTTAAAAAAAAGAGTCTGAGGAGGCTGGGATATAGCTCAGATGGTAGAGTGCTTTCATCGCATGCACAAGGCCCTGGGTTCAATCCCCAGCACCAAAAAAAAAAAAAAAAAAGAAAGAAAGAAAAAAGAGCCTGGCATAGTGGTGCATGCCTGTTATCCCAGCAGCTCAGGAGACTGAGGCAGGAGGATCACAAGTTCAAAGCCAGCCTCAGCAACTTAGCAAGTCCCTAAGCAACTCAGCGAGACCCTGACTCTAAATACTATATAGAAATAAAGGGGGCTGGGGATGTCGCTCAGTGTTTAAGTACCCCTGGGTTCAATCCCTGGTACCCCCCCAAAAAAGAATGAGATCCTAAGTTATGTATTTATAATGTGTCAAAATATACTCTACTGTTATGTATATCTAGACAGAACAAATAAAAATAAATGATTCTATGTGGAGGATCACCGGCCTCTTGTAAATGGAGCATTGAAGTACTCTACTGATGCTCACATTCCAGGATGACTACATTATATTGACCCTGGGTTCATCTGTGTAATTATCTGGAATTCTCATTATTCAATGATAATGAAAGCAGAAAAAGATATGTCTGATTCTGATTCTTTGAGTAGGGCAAAGTCCAATATTATTTCCTATGAGTGAAAATATCTTTAAAAAAAAATCCAAGGCTGTCTTCTCAGAGAGTTGAACGACAGTAGCGTACCTTCTGAGACTGAGCAGCTTAACAGGACCTAGGCCCTCTCTCTCCACTGTTGTATTATTTATTGTTATATTCTGCTTCTTTCCCCAAAGCACTTGAATTAGAGACGCCTGAAGTTTACGCGTTTGTCTTTAGATTCTTCTCATCTTGTTTTCTGCTATTTCTTTCCCTCCAAGTGCCCCCCCCACACACACACACATACAATATCTGTCTCCTTCCAAAAGAGGCCAGTGTTCCAGCAGCGCATCCACTCTTCTAAAACCTCCATCCCAGCAAGGCTGAAATCAGTTTGGACATTATGATTAAAAGTTCTTCTTAGGAAAATTAAAGTGACCAATAAATTTAACTCTGGGGGAGGTGTTTGTAATTTAAAGCAGTGATTTAGTTCTAATCTCAGTTATTGGAATCTGGTGGGCCAGGGAATGATGTAGATAGAGTCTCTGTCCCCTTCCTACCCTCTCTAAGTTTCCCCAAAGCATGACATGGACTGGGCAGAAGTCATTAAATCCTTCTCTCCCATATATCCTCCTTATTGTCCCCATTTACTTATAAGCAAACTGAGACATGGGAAGGTTTATCACTTGTCTTGGTTTTCCTCCTAAACCAATAGCAACAGCAGTATTACCTAACTCCTATTTTTGTGAAGATGAATCATATCTGCTGCATGTATACCAGGAAGCTGAAGCCAGGCACAGTAGGGCACACCTGGAATCCCAGCCACTGGGGAGGCTGAGGCAGGAGGATTACAAGTTCAAGGCTAGCCTCAGCAACTTAGCAAGAACCTGTCTCAAAATAAAAATGACTAAGGATGTAGCTCAGTGGGTAAAGTACCCCTGGGTTCAAACCCCATAGTTAAATAAATGAATAATAAAAAACAATAACCTTCCTGGAAAACAATAAGTACACAGTTTAGAAAGTGCTTCTTATTCTTATTTACAAACTGGTCTCTGAATGGAAGGGAGAAACCAGTACTAAGTGTCAAGGGATATCTATCTCTAGACCTTTACAGCACTTGATACTGCATTTCTATTTATGGTAATGTTATGAAGTTCCCTTTAAAACAACGTTTTATTGGTTCTTATTTATATATGACGGTAGAATCCATTTGGATAAAATTATACAAGCATGGAATATATCTTATTATAATTAGGATCCCATTCTTGTGGGTGGGCATGATGGTGTTGTTCGCTTAGATTTTTTCATATATGTACATAAAAAATTATGTTAGACTTGTCCTACTGTCTTTTCTATTCCAATCCCCCGCCTTCATTTCATTCTCTTCCGTCTAACCTACAAAACTTCTGCCTTCTCTCCCTTTTATTGTGATTTATATTTCATATATCGGTGAAAACATTTGGCCTTTGTTTTTTTGGGATTAGCTTATTTCACTTAGCATGATAGTCTCCAGATCCATCCATTTACCTGCAAATGTTATAAAGTCATTCTTCCTTATGGCTGAGTAATATTCCAGTATGTATATATATCAACATTTCTTTGTCCATTCATCTGTTGAAGGGCAACTAGGTAAGATCCATAGCCAGGAAAGTAAGTTGGTTTAAAGAAATTCATTAAGTATCAGGTATGAAGTCATATGGGGTTATGTCAAAGATGATGATGAATATAAGTGAATGCTTATGTGATTCCTCCTTGTAGAGTAAGTACAAAGTTCATAATGGTGAAACCACTGCATGTTGCCTGTTCCAACCTCTAGCACTCCTGATGCTCTTTGGCCTACTCTACGTTTTCTTTGTTCCACGGGACTTCCACTCTCTAACACATGAATAGTAATAGTAGTAACTAATGGTAATATATATTTTTTTATTTCTATTGTTTGCCTTCCCTTGCTAGAATGTAAGCTTTCCCAGGGCAGGAATTTTTTCCTACATTGATTCAGTAAATGAACAAAGTTATCTAAAACTGTGTTTGGCATGTAGTAGATGGTCAATACATATTTAGTAACTGACTGATTGGATGACTTTGCCATTTACAATCCTTCATAATCTGATCTTGCTCTTTTCCAACTTCATCTCTTGCCATTCTTCACTCTGTTACTGATTCTAGCAGTTTCCCATGCACACCATTTGCACCCCATCCCTATATATTCACTCATACTCTTTCCTTTCCTTTGCCTTGGATAAATGGTCATGGATCTATGCAAAGATTTAGTTATAAGGATATTCTTCACAGCCTGGACTCGTAATCTGAAGAAAAAAAAACTGAAATATCCTCAACATCCATCAATACTTTCTCATTTAAAGAAATCATGGTAACTTGCACTTAATGGAGGGCAATTTGGCAATGTGTATCAAAATTACAAATACAGGAGCCTGGGGTTGTGGCTTAGTAGTGGAGTACCTGCCTATCACATTTGAGGCACTGGGTTTAATCCTTAGAACCATAAATAAATAAATAGATAGATAGATAGATAAAGGTATTGCATGTATCTACAACTAAAAAATATTTTTTTAAAAAATACAAATACACATTGCTTTGACTCAGAAATTCTGCTTTTGGGAGTTTATCACATATTGATACTTGCTTATGTACCAAATGAACTTTAGACACAGCAGTGACAGAACTCTGTGTCACTGAGTTGTACAGCTATCTTTGCTGATGCCAAGAAGATCATAATAGGGGAAAGGCATGGTGGTAGATGCCTGTAATCCCAACAGCTTGGGAGGCTGAGGAAGGAGGATCACGAATTCAAAGCCAGCCTCAGCAACTTAGTGAGGCCCTAAGCAAGTTAGCGAGACTCGTGTCTCTAAATAAAATATAAAAAAGGGCTTGGGATGTGGCTTAGTGGCTAACTGCCCCTGGGTTGAATCCCAGGTACCAAATAAAAAAAAAATTAAAGAATCATAATAGCGGCCAGGCACAGTGTTGCACGCCTGTAATCCCAGCGGCTCGGGAGGCAGAGGCAGGAGGATCATGAGTTCAAACCCAGCCCCAGCAATTTAGCAAGGTGCTAAACAACTCAGTAAGACCCTGTCTCTAAATAAACTATAAAAAATAGGGCTGAGGATGTGGCTCAGTGGTCAAGTGCCTCTGAGTTCAATCCCTGATACCAAAAAAAAAAAAAGCATAAAAAGCATAATAACTAAAGTTAATTCAACTTACCATGCATCAGGCACTGTGGTGGTATTTTTAAAAATATTTTTATATAATTTAATCCCCATTAACAACCCTGTGAGGCAGTTAATATAATAGTCCACATTTTAAACAGGAGGAAATGTGCGGTCAGAGAAGTTAATGTATTTCACTAGGGTCAGAAAATTAATAAATAGCAAAACACAATGTCCAAAACATTCTAACAAAATAGTATGGATACTATGATCTAATTTTATTAAAAATATAAATAAATGTATATATGTGCATATAAAAATATTGGAAAGAAACATCAAAATGTTAATGATTGGGTTGTGGCATTGTGAGTGATTTTTATTTTCTTAGTATTTTTTGATTATTTTATTACATTTTGGGGCCAACAGGGGTGGAGAAAGTGAAGCCAGGGGCACATGAATTACTTGTATCATTTTAAAGATCACTAAATTTGAAAACTCTGGTGGTAATGTGGAACAATGGCGCAGGCATGAGGGAAGTGTTTGTAGGCTGAGAGGAAAGACAAGTGAGGAGGAAGAGCTTCCCCAAAGGGAAGGAGGATGGGGCTAAGTGAGGTGAAGTCAGGAGAATCTAGTGCCAAGGCCACAAGCAGAAAGAATAACCTTGAGGAGGAAGTACCTCTTTCCCATGAGGCTTGGGGGACTGGGCAGCAAAAGCCACGGTCAAGTATGCAGGGAACTGGGGAAAGCAGGTGAAAAAGGGAAACTAAGGGAGTTCCTGTTTGATAACCTTATTCTTTCATTGAAATCCAGAGCTAGGCCATCGACTGAGGGTCCTGGGGCAGTGGTCGGGCAGAGGATGTGAGGAGAAGAGGATTTGGAACAATCGCTGAGAGAAATTTGATACAGGTATATAAAAGGACTGCTTCGTAGCCCTTGGGGCCCAGCTAAGGCTGGCTGGCCAGGCTTTGTAGTGGAGCCAACTTCATGACCTTCTCTAGCAATAGCTAGCAGCCCGGGAGCAAGTGATGGAGAGAATGCATAGTGGGGTTTTCACAGAGCTGAGAATTGGCAGAGCAAGTGCTGCCAAAGGTCACAGGGAGAATCAGTCCAGAGATCAACACTGGCAAAGCTAAAATGGCTGGTCATGGGGCAGACTTGGAAGGAGGAAAGGAAGCTAGGAGGCTAATGATGGTCTCTGGGAAAGAAGAGGGGAGGAAGGGTGGGCTAGTGACTGGGGTGGCCAAAGAGCAGTCCAGGGAGACTAATAAGCTGAAGTCAGAGGGGTATTTCTGAGTTTGGGTTGTTGAAGTGGTCTTCAATGGGGCCCGGGAAGTAACAGGGAAGGAGCACCCAAGATACTGTGCTTCATGAAAGGGTAAAGGCAGCATGCAAATAATGCTTAGCTGAAAGAGGACAATTTGGCAGTATCTACCAGAATTGCAAAGTCACATTCCCTCCATCCTGCACCTCTACTTTAAGGAATTTCTCCTACCTAATTACTTGCTCTTGTGCAAGAGGATTGGGTAAGGTGAGTTGCTGCAGCGTAAACTGTATCCACATCAGATTGGCAGCAGCCTGAAAGTCGATCAATAGTAATTTGATTAGTTAAATAAATTACAGTTCATAAACTGAAATGCTAGGTATTTGGAAAAACAGGAAGAAGCTGTTCTTTATGTGTCGATATGGGATGACGTCCATGATTTAATAAGTGGAAGAAGCAAGGTGTGCAGAAGAGTGTGAGTAGTTTGCAATCTACTTACTAACCTGTGCATAAAACGGCTACATAAGGTTACATAAAAATTATTAATATTGATTGGTTGCCTCTGAGGACTCCATCTGTTGGCAGGCACACAGGGGTTCAAAGATGTTGACTAGGGGACAAGGGTGGAAAAGGACTTTTCACTTGTCTTTTTTTTGTTGTTTGTTTTGGGCACCTTTTGAATTTTGAACCGTGTGAATATAGAACTTAATAGGAAAGTAAAATAATTCACTAAAATACTATATATGCATATACAAATTGAATATTTCAATCAATTTTAGGTGTATATACAATTGGATTCTCTTTTACAGATTTTAATACTTAAAAGCATAACGAAACTTTCCCTAGAGATTTGTTTCAAAACAATCCGTTTGATAGGATACTCTGGGGGGATTTGGATGAAATGAAACTGATTATGTTTTAATAACTGTTAAGGTTGGGGAATGGGTATATGGGAATTTGTTTTCATTTGGAACATGAAATTGTCATTTTTGTGGGTCAAAAATATTTCAATTTTGGCAATTTCATGTGGTTTAAACTAATGATGTTTTCCAAATTTTTCATAATATTAAAGTTTAAAAAAGAAGTCCCACTATGCCCTTGCTAGGAACACTTGCACACTTTCTGATGTATGCTCTTGTATCTCATAACTGAATGGAAATTCCCATTCCCCCAACAGCATTACTGCTTCGTTGGTTCCCTTATTATGGGATCTGGTACTGTTCTGAGAATTTTTCCCATTAACAACAATCTCTCTCCATCCTGTTGTGTGTTAATTGGCTACTCCCTTATCCTTATTGCTGGTAAAGCTCATCCTGTTCTCAAAAAAAAAAAATCACTTCTTTAGTTTCCTATGATCACTTGACATTCTCTTCCTGCCTCGCTGTTTATTATTAGCAGCTCTAGCTCATTTGGGGCCATGTCCTTATCCAGCTTACTTATATTATTAATCTAGGGGCTGATGTCCCTCGGACATTCAGTATACATCACTGCAAAGGTCGTCTGTAAGCACACTTGTGTTCAACCTTTCAACCTCAAGTGGTTTTGCTTACGTAAGCTTGTGCTTCTTATGTTACCTCAGAGGCTATGGCGGCCTCAGCCTGGCCCCTGACGCCTGCTAATCCATGCCATGCCTTGTTGTCTGTCCTCAGGAAGCAGGTGGCTTCTTGTTGCCTACAGGCTCAGGCATCTTCCCCATATCCCAGTCCATCAGCTCCTCTGCTCACATGTCTCATTGGCACCGCAAATCTTCACCGGGCTTCCCAACTCTAAGCACCCCGCACTTTATGTCCTCTGTAAAGAACTCCTCTGACCCTCTTACCCAGAAATCTGGGCTTAGCAGACCCTCCTCCAAGCTCTCACAGAAGCCTTCATCACCTGCAAAAATTATCCCCTCTTTATTTGTCCCTCCTGCCCCCACACTGTGAGCTAAGGATAGACACCATGACTTGTGCTCCCTTGAATATCTCACTCCAAGCACAGCCTCGGGCACATGATTAAATACTCAAAATAACATATATACACACACACACATTTTAAAGTAAAAAAAAAAAAAACACATATATTTTGCAATGCTGGGATCAAACTTGGAGCCTTGTGTATACCAGACAAGCACTCTACCACTAACCCCCCCTAAATATTATGTTTTAAAAATATTAATTTGCAACTTATGCAAATTTTATGCAAAAATAGTGAAAAGAACTTTCATATACCCTTGATCAAGATTCATCTGTTCTAAAGATCTTGTTACATTTGCTCTATCACTGTTTCTCTTGACACAAACAGACAAGTGCCAGCACACAATTTTTTTCCTGAAACACTTGAGAGAAGGTTGCAGACATTGGGTCCCTTTGCCCCTTAGTATTTCAGTGTTTTTGTTTCCTAAGAACAAGGACATTCTGTTATATAAGCACAATAGCGTTATCAAGCTCAGGAAATGTAACATTGATACAGAACACTATCATAGAATCTATAGTTCATTTTCAAATTTTAATTGTCCCAATAATGGCCTGCATAGCTATTTCTTTAATCATCCATGATCCAGTCTAGGATCACATTTGTAAATAGTTGTCATGTCTTAGTTCTCATAAATCTCCTTGAATCTTCAGCCTTTTTCTTTCTTTTTTTTTAAATCTCTTATGATATTGGCGTTTTGGAGGAGTATAGGTCAATTAGAATGTCCTTCAGCTTGAGTTTGCTTGGTATGTCCTTTGTGTGGCATGATGAGTCGGGTTATGTTTTTTTTTTTTTTTTGGCAGAAGTAAAACAGATAGGCTAGATTATTGTTGATTTTTAAACTTTGATTCCTTGGTCAGAATGATGTCTTCCAGGTTATTTTCTCTGTAAAGATTCCATTTTTTCTGTTGTGTACTTCATAACTAATGTATGTTAAGTATTTTGAGACTATGTAAATAATCATGTTTCTCACAAATTCTGACTCCCTAGATTTATAATCTATTGATGGCTATTGTCAACCTTGGCCAACCAGAAACTTCTGTTCTAAGCAAAAGAAGGCATCCTTTCTGCAGGACTCATTTAATCAGTGGGTACATATTATTTTGAAAATGACTATTTGGTAAACACTACAGAGTCTAGGCATAGACAAGATGCAGCCTGGTTTGAAAGCCCATAATACTTTATAGCACTTGTAAACCTTAGATGAGGCTAGTTCTCCTGAAAGCTCCCTGGTCTTTATCAGGGCCCAGAATGGACTCTACAGCTTTCCCAAGATAGTCTCCATGCAGAAGGTAGCAGGCAGCAGCTGTTGGCTTGGTATACCCCACACCCGTGCATCCCATGCCCGCCTGCTTTTGCTCTTCTCCATCAAACTTTAGAGAGTTACCTTTTGGTGTATTTGGAAAATATGGAATGCAATTCAGTGTTCCACACAGGCTCTCATGTCATTCTGAAGACCCACATGTTAATGTGCTTGGACCAAGGTGTCCTTTTCATGTAAATTCATGTACTTAGAAGGACAGGGTACCATGGACTACATAGAGGGCAGAGGGTGGTGGGGCTGTTTCTGTTTGGGGAGTGTTTTATTTCCAGCTCCACAACTCCAATCTGTGTTTCCATCTTCATATGGCCTTCTTTCTTCTGTGTCTCACATGATGTTCTCGTGTGTGTGTATGTGTGTGTGTGTGTGTGTGTGTGTGTGTCCAAATTTACCTCTTTTTAAAGGACACTAGTTGGATTATGGCCCACCCTGAGGCCTTCTCTTAACTCATAGCTGAATCTTTTTTTTTTTTTTAACATTTTGTAATATGGGGGGCAGAGCTCACAAAAGAAGTTACCTGAATCCTTAAAACCCACAAAGTTGGAGACCTTTTTTAAAAAGAACAGATACCAAAATATATTTTAGTTGTTGAAGGAAGCAAAAAAGGACATAAGATCTAGAAGATAAAAGCTGAATTTAAAACCATGCTAAAGAACAAATTAAAACAAAGAAGAAGAAAAATGTGTCAGAAGTTAATCCTATTATAAATGAATATCATCTCTACGGGACTGTATGACTCACCTTAACAATATTCAAACAACAAAAACCCTACTAACAAAAGAGCCTCAACACTCCTTTAGGGTTGGTTGTGACAGAATTTGTCCTGCTTATGGGGTATGCATGAAAAACAATATAAAGATAATATCTAAAATATGAAACTGTTTCTCTAAATAGCACTTATTGGTCTTAAATCCAATTGAGTAAGTGATCAGCTATGACTTGAAGCTTGTCATCATGGGATGGGGGAGTCATTTAAAGCCAAAGAGGACTCTTCTATACTTTGTTCATGTGCCTGGAAAAAGTATAATATTGCAAGTTTCTCCTCAGTGTTAAATATCTACTGAGAATTAAAGAATAGATGAAACTTCCTAGCCATTTCCAAGAATTCACATGATAAAGGGTAATCATTTTAGTTTATATATGCTCAGTTTTCTTAAAGCCGTAGATTTTATTTTAGAAAGGAGAATGTATATGGCATTAATAAACCAAATATGTCGTACATTCTAGAATGCCAGATTAAGGGATCTTTATAGTGGCAAACCTTACATCTGCAAAGAGCCTTTTTCCAAATAGGGGCACATTCACAGGACTTCAATGTACCTTTTTGAGGAATATGATTCCATCTGTAAGAGGAACCATATCTGAAATCCAACCCATCTGAGAACCTGAAATGGAGTGCTGTTGTCTATGATATTTAGCTCAGGAGAACACAACTGTCTCTCCTGCTCACTCTAGTTTTGGTTGGCTTGCCAACATGTAAGGAAAGAAAATGACATAGGCAGAGCATGCT